TTGGTTTTAATGTGAACATAGCATGGACCGGAGGAGTAGAGCCACCCATGGGTGATGTGGAGTACCTTACTGCCTTTAGGTAAACATTATAATGATTGGATTCTCACCTTTTAAATATATGTTTTAAATAACTACGTTATTACAGAGGTCAGTAGAGGGAGATCAATGAGATGTTTGGCACCCAGTGATTAAATACTGTCCACAAAAACTCCAGGGCCCAATTTGATGTGAATACATGTGAGACGAAAAGGTTGGTTTATGTTCAAGTATGAACACGCATGAAGGTAACAGATGCATTACAATGTCACTGTGTGTGTGTGTGTGTGTGTGTGTGTGTGTGTGTGTGTAGGAGTGTGGTGATGCCCATCGCCCAGCAGTTCAGCCCAGATGTGGTTCTGGTGTCTGCAGGCTTCGACGCAGTGGAGGGTCATCAGTCTCCTCTGGGAGGATACAATGTCTCTGCCAAGTGTGAGTACTACACCAGTTACCATGGTGATCAGAACAAGGCCATTTTCTGACCGCTATGTCACTGACACGATCGCCAAATGATGTGTGTTTCTGGACTGTGCCCGGTGTGTGTTGGCAGGTTTCGGGCAGCTAACGCAGCTGCTGATGGGTCTGGCGGGTGGGCGCGTTGTTATGGCGCTGGAGGGTGGTCATGACCTCACCGCCATATGTGACGCGTCAGAGGCCTGTGTGTCTGCGCTTCTGGGAGACCCGGTAAGAGAGAGAATGTCATCAGTAATTATTGAAGTTTTCATTTAAAACATGAACCACTTTAACCTTTGTCAACCTGTGTTCTCTATGAATAGTATAGAAATAGCACACTGTCTTTTTTCACAAAGGAGCAGAGTTTGAATGTTGAAGAAACAGTTCAACATTTTGGGAGATTCACTCTTTTTGAGAGTTAGATGAGAAGTTTACTTAGCTTAGCTTAGCATAAAGGCTGTAAACAGAGGGAAACAGCTAGCCTGGGTCTGCCCAAGTAGAAGAAAACTCTTCTTCCTTCACTCTATTTCTGCTTTTGTCTTATAACTTCTGCTTGCTATTGCTGGCAATAGTAAACAAATCATAATCAGGAAGTCATGTGACCTGACACTACTCCCCCTCCCCTGCAGATGTCGGGTTAAAAAGATGGTCTTTGGGGCACCCTGGTAGCTTACCTGGTAGAGCTGGCCCCATGTACCAAGGCTGAGTCCTTGCTGCAGTGACCATGGGTTCGACTCTGACCCTTGGCCCTTTGTTCCTCCCCCCTTTCCTGTCACTCTACAGCTGTCACAATAAAAAAAAAGAAGAGTAATCGCAGTCTGTGGCTCTTCTGCTAACAACTCCGGTGTCTCTACCTCTCCTCTTATGCCCTACTAAGTCAGTAGGTGTGGCGTATGTGGTGCTTTTCCAGGGTTTCCACACGACCTGGAGAACCTGGAAATTTAGAGACTAGTTTTCCAGTCATGGAAACACCTGTAAATTGATAAAAATTACCAAATATCCTGGAAATAATCCTGTCACTCCTGATCTTTGGTGCAAAGTTAGCAACAATTAACTAGCTGTTGAGGCAGCAGCTCAATGTTTCTATTATGACAAAGTTCAGGAGCCTTGATACTAACTTACTATGATGGTGAATTAAGTATCAATATTATTTGCGTTCTTAATTGTCCCTGTGAAATCTTTGTTTAGCTGATGCTTGCTTGGAGTAGTGTAAGAAGCTCAAAATGATGTTGTGTTTTCCATAGAGGATTTGGTTTATCTGGCTGTTAACAAGAGTGAAATCCATATGGAGATCCTGCGTAGTATAATACTGTCCCCTTACCAAAAAAAAGTGTGTCCATCTGAAGTCTGTTATGATATCATATTATTGCATATAGACATTAGAAAAACACAAGACATGCCAACACATTCCAGGAGAACTAACAAACAAACTGGTGTGGAGTCCCTCCTTTTCTTTTTTTACATTTTTGGTTAAACTAATGAGATACACTGTAAATAAGGGAGTGCGTAGTGGTGCTGGTAAGCTTATTTTTTTACTTTGGGCAGAGCCAGGCTAGCTGTTTCCCCCTGCTTCTGCTCATTATGCTAAGCTAGGCTAAGCATGTCAGCACTCCAGCTTCATACACGTCACGTGACTGATATTGACCTTCTGCCCTTACTCTTAGGGGGACAGCGGCAAAGTAATTTACCTAAAATGTTAAACTATTCCTTTTAGACAGTGCAGGTCAACACGTGCAAAGATAAAGACGCCTCCAGTCTGTGGTATTATCGTCCTCAGTGATGAGCATTGTGTTTGCAGGATGTGTTTTAGTACGTAGTGTTTCCTGCATTGCTGTTAACACACACACTCTCTGTCTCTCTCAGTGTGACTCTGTGTTTCAGTGGCCTCAGGAGAAGCCATGTCCAAAAGCTTGGGCCTCACTAGAGAGAGTAATAGAGATCCAGAGTAAGAAACACACACGCACCCACTCACTCATTCACTCATTCACTCACTCATTCACTCACTCACTCACTCACTCACTCACTCACACACAGCTCTTGATCCTCAGTCCATGTGTATCACTCTCTTCCTCTCTCTGTCCATGCAGGTAAACACTGGTCCTGTCTCCAGAGTTTGTCTCAGACGAGTGGCCACTCGCTAATGGACGGCCCCCTGGGTTCTCAGGGCCAATCGGAGGACGAGGCAGAAACAGTCAGCGCCATGGCCTCCCTCAGTGTTGACGTTGAGCAGCCAAGCTCCGTTCCTGACAACACGGAAACCAGCAGGTCAGCAGAGAACTGTGATAGCTTCACAGCATCATTAGAGAACCCGTACGGTACAAGCCCGTACATGTGTCAGTCAGCAGATTGCTGATAATAATGGTTCTTCCACTGTCAGCAGCAACTGTTAACTAGTTTATTGCTGTTTTGCCTTAGAAAAATGGAATTAAAATGAAGCAAGGACATATTAACATGCACAAATATATATTGTATTGTAATAAAATAAAATAATATGATATCGAAGGGTAACTTACAGGAACATTATTCATGATCTTATGATGAAATGTTCTTGCACTAGAAACTCCTCAATTTATCTCTGGTTCTCCCTGCACTCAATCACATGCAGGTGCAGCTAGTTTTTTTTATATACACGAAAAGGCAAAGTCAGTAATACCATGCATCATCGGGGTTCTATTGGTTTTTCGGAAATTTAAAAATAACTTTTGTCTTGCCAATATTCAAACTATGACATCACCGATCACGCCACTGTGTTAGCATAGCAGTTGTTAACCCTAGAGCAGCTACACCACCTGTTTTTTTTCCTGTGCGTATACAGCAATGTCATCTGTATACATTTGCACTTCTATTTGTCACTGTTGTGGGAGATCGTTGTTACACTGACTAAATAGGAGGGGCCCTAACACTGACCCTTGAGGTATACCTATTGCTGGAAATGTTAATTGCATTAAACTATTTAAGCAACACGAAGTAACTAGATAGTAACTAGATGAGTTAATGCTAAATGCTACAGTTATTTTTACAAGTGCGTAATATTACACTTGAGGCTTATTTTATAAATGAATTGTAATGTATATGTAAAAAGTGCTTTTAAATGTTATATTCGATTTTGAACTGTCCACAGGTCCACAGAGGAGCCAATGGAAGAAGAGCCTGTATTGTAGGCGGATCTTAAAAAAGAACCACACAAAAACTCCACATTCACCTCTTCTGGCACCTCCTCTTCCTCTTCCTATTCCTCCGCAGAGTGTGTGGAGGTACACACACACAGAGTCGAATTGTCTCGTTGGGGAGGACTCCGATTGCCTGAGGAGAACAGTATGGAGGCAGGAGAAGGCGGGGCGTGTGAAAAACATGGACACATCTCTTTTCCATTGGTTCATCAGCCCAAGGAGGAGCAGACGACTTGTTAGCATCTCCGTGGAAACCAGAGGAGGAGAGGGTCAGCAAGGAGACACGTCTTGTGACCTGTATACTTTACCACCTGTACACAGCACCACTGAATTTTCCCCTCCCACCGCCCAATCACTCTTTTGTCTTTCTATTTTGTCCCTACTCCTCGGTTTCCACAGCGGGAAGATGACTGTGGAAAACCTGAATTTGAATCCCGTCAAGATGTCAGACGGCAAGCAGACGACTTGTCTGTCTGTCTGTCTGTCAGAGAGGCAGGCTGAAAGAACGTGGGGTTGGCTGGCGGAGGAAGAACAACCTGTTGTAAAATGAGCAGAGGAGGAGGAGGAACTAGGTGCCTTTTTAAAAAAAAAAAAAACGTCCAATCAGAAACCACAAAACACCACCACCGCAGCACCTCAGCAAACATACCAGCCAATCAGGACTGAAGAAACACACTAATGCGCACGCATACACACTGCTGTTGTTTTAGTCGGTCAGTTCATTTTCAAGTCTTTGTTTCTTCATCTGGATGCCTTAATTTGTTCTTATCTCACTATTTAGCAACCTTGAGAGAGATGGCGAGAGAGAGAATCATAATATAAATATATACTCAGAAATGTATTTAAACTGCTAAGAAATGTATTTTCTTTAAAATCTTATAATATTCATACCAGGTATTCCCAACAGACTGAAGAAACGCCTCTAAAGCCATCAATGCACACTAGACATCTCCAGTAAAAATCTCCATTGAATATTAATGTAATGTTAATAATAATATTCAATCAGACTTTTATGGGATCTGGTAAGTGTCTCAGGATCAGGCCCGTTTTAGCAGTATTCTTTCTTTGCATTGCTTCAAACCACCACTCCTCTCTCTCTCTTTCACTTATTTCGGTTGAGAGTCATGTGACCTGAGCCCATCCCTTCTTCTCTAAAGGGGATTGTTGGATTGTGGCACACCACAACGACCACCACGTCCCTCTTATTTCTTCTATTTTTTTTAATTGTAATATTTCTTGTTTGGTGTAAATACTGTCTCCTGTCCTGTTGCCCACGGTTACGTCACAGCAGACTCAGTGTGGTCACTTTTCTATATCTGTACATACATATATGTATAAAAACACAAACTACTTTCTCTTTTTGTATAAAAAAAGAAAAAATAATATTCTATATAAATATATATATATATGTAAACAGTGTTTTATCCAATAAGATTGGATTTATGAATATATTCTATTTGGAGATTTGATGTTTAAAAGGTTTGGCTGTTTGACAGGAAGTAAGCACACGGTCTGATGACATCAGACCGCCATATGTTTGTATGTTTGTTTACAGATGTTGAGGGTGGCTGGATATTGTTATCGTAGTGGTTGTTGTTGTTGGAGGCGAACAGTGAGCTCCTGTTCCTCTGGCAGGACCAGGAAGGCAGTGCTGCCCTCCACAGGCAATCAGCAGCAACTACAGAACAGTGGATATGAAGTTCAAAGGTCATAACTGGGTAAATAGATTTGGTCCAGTGGTGATGCATTTTTGCAGTCCAACAGGGAGTTAGCAAGCCCTTTTCCATGGTTTTACGTCATTCATTAGCGCTGACCGTCGTACTGCATATCACAGCTGAATCGGCATCCTGTAGCTTGGATGTTTAGTCACTGACGGCCTCCAAACATTTGTTACAGCAATGTTTAAAGTACAAATGCACTGGATGGTGGGTTATCTTCTTCTATATATATGAGAAAGGTGTATAAGATGGGGTAAAAATGCCAGGTTTAAAAATATGTCACTTACCCTGACTAAGAAAGGTATCTTTAAACTTAGAAGGAACTTTTCATTATTGTTGATTCTAGCGGCCCCTGTGCTTGCCACAGCCTTGTTTCATTGATTTCAAGGGGAATCCAATCGGGTGGCAGGCATTAAGAATAACTTTACAGAAATGGCCAATCTTCTTGCTGATGGTCTTGTGTGCTTATGTAAGTCATATAGAGGCATCAGTATTAAATTCAGACTGTTTTATAACCAGTTAAAAACTGTAGTACCTTTAATACAAAACAATATGTATTCAAAGATGACACAGGAAGTCGCAGTGTGTTCAGAAGGTCACAAGTGGGAACACAAGGTATGGCCTTCAGGGGAGTCCAAGAGAGGGGGGGAGATGTCAGGGAATGGTACACTGCCAGTGTTTGTTCTTTTTCGCTTAGATAATGATAAAGTCGAGAGTCACTGATGGCCACTTTTAATTCAGCTCACTTTTTTGTACTAGCTGCCATGACCATTGTCGTGATGTCCTCTGTGGAAAACGAGCGGGTAGGCAAGTCCAGCAGCTGCTGTAACCATTGGGGGAACAAAATATCACAGAGTCTTGGCTGTTTCGAGGAGTTGAATGCAGCTCATCTGACCTTTCAACCCAAGGAACAACAAGGTAGTTTTGAGGAGCAAAGCCATTATTATAAAAATGGAGTGTACAGTGCAGCAGAGCTTAATAGAGAAGACCTTTCTTGGTCAGTGTAAATCAGATCTTTTTCTTAGTTTCTGAGTTTGCACCAACCATTCTTCCACATTGAAGTGACTAAGAAGATTTCCTACCATCCACTGAGTTCATATACATAGTTCGTAACAAACTTTTTTTAATCCACTCAGCAACTACCATACATAACATGCTGTTCCTGGATCAGGGCTAATGGACCGCTCAATTGTTTTGTTATGGTATAGATTCTTCCCTGTTAACTATTTGTTAGCAATCATCTTTATTAGCTTTCATGAAAGTTTTAAAATGGCTGAATATCCAATCAAAAATCCATTTCCATCCCACTAACTGTTGGGAACCGTGGCCCAAGTATGCTAACTACACAGTTGTGTGTTCACCAAGCTCCAGTTTATTGCTGTTTTTGTAAGCTAACGTTTTGTGCTTGTCGAAGGTGCCCAGTAGACGCAAAGCTTCAGAACTGGACCACTCTATCATCCGCATCATCAGAAACTTAACTCAGAAACACTATCGAGTCACTCAGTAAGCTGACTCTGCCGAACACAATCTTCAACCTCACAAGTCCATTTCCCAGGACCCTTTGTGGTGTAGCGAGTGTTGTAGCTCACGCTGCTTCCTTTGGGTCTCGTCTGTTCAAAGCAATATAACACTGACAGGACAGCAGTGGTTGGAACAGAGAGAGAGAACTTCAATGTCCAGCTTTAGCGTTGCCATGGTGAAGCGGCAGACAGCATCACAGCTTACATCATTTGCAGGGTTCCCTGTGGTTGAGCGCTGTTTGCATGTATTATCTGTCAGGTGGGATGGACAGAGTATTGATTGATCTAAAAATTGATTGATTTATTGAGCTGTGTTTCCAGGCGGTTCAGTGTAGTCTTTTTGTACTAATGTAAACACTAAGGCCATTTTGTCCATTGTATCAGTAGTCAGTAATAGCAGTGCCTCTCGTTGGGGAGGTCGAGCGGTGGAGTTGGACGGATTAGAATTAGCTATCGACAACGGTAGCCGTTGACGCCTGATCTCGACTGGAGTTCACGCGGCCACAAAGGAACAAAACTGTGGAGGGACGAGCAAGTGGACCACAGCTGAGAAGCCTGTCAATTAAGCAATTTATACCCATATTAAAAAAAATGCCTTAACGTTTTCTCAACATTTTTTTTTTTTTTAATTACCAACGAGTAATTAATTCAAATTGTCTGTTGAAGAATTTCGTATTTTCCCTGTCACTTATTACAATTTGGGCCTTATTTTCTTTCTAGTTTTGTTCTTTTCCATAATAATGGTGCTTTCCATTTACCTCTGAAGTCTGAGGTGCTGGGAGAACGACCCGAGTTGACTACGTTCCAGTTCAAGTCAAAAAACCTAGCTAGGTTAGCAATTAGGGCTGTGTATTGGCAAGAATCTGGACATACAATACGTATCCCGATACAGCGGTTAAGAATCAATATATTACGATATCTTGGATTTTGAGGTTGGGTTTGGTGAGGTTCTTCCAACTTCAAAGTCTAAAATCCCACTTTATGATGATGAATTTCATGATCGCAAATTCCATCTTCCAATTTCAAATGGAATGCACCATGAGAACACTGGGTGGGACCAGCTACAAATACTTTACCCTTTAGACGTGGTCAGACCACGTCGTAATTTATTTTGACCGTTTTTCTTCTTCTGTTGTAGCGACGTTGCTGTGTTCTAAGATTTCAGCAAATTACTTTTGGTGAATTCAAAGTTCTCGTAATCAACACAACTACAAAAATAAGACCCAAATCGTAAGAAACAGAATCATCCTTTAAAACAACCAGTGTGTAGGATTTAGTTGCATATAGTGGGGAAAGTTACAGATTGCAACAAGTTGAATACAGCTCAAGGAGCAACCACAGTGGCTGCGAAACTTGCTAAAAACGCTAAAGGCCCTATCTAGAGCCAGTGTTGGTTTGTCCGTCCTGGACTACTGTAGAAACATGGCGGTTCAACATGGTGGCCATGGAGGACCCAGAGCGGTTGTAGATAAAAACGGCTCATTTTGAGGTCATGAAAAAGGTGATTCAGGTGATTATACACTAATGAAAACATCATATGAATATTATATTCCATTCCTGCCAGTAGATCCTCCTAAATGTTACACTGGGCCTTTAAGTCAGGATGGTTGCTGCTTGGTCAGAGGGCACACATAAGCACAGATTGCGGACTGAAGATTTAAGATTTTTGTTTTAGTGCAGGTCAGTTCTGGTTGGTTTGTACCAGGACAGGACGGGAGTTCGGAGAAGCCACCTTTTGGGCTCTGGTCCTGAGTCCTAATGAAAGGGCTCCTAAAGAACCATCTGCACCAGCAGCGTTGTTATCCTGCACACTTAAAACTAATAGCGCGGACAGAGCCTGGCCGTGTGTGTGACAGGGTGACAGACTTCCCCAGTCCAGAGGCCACACAGCTTTACTGTTGCTACCACCCACACACACACACAGTGAGGTTAAATGCACACTTTCTCACACACACACACACACACAGACTATTTTGCTACATGAGTTAATACTGTATATTTCTTGATATGTTTGATACTGTGGTGTAAATGTAGTGTCCTGCTATGATGCGGTGTGGGGGGAGGGCTCTCTTTGGACATTTGGGGTGGGACGAGGAGGTTCAGTATCAGTGCGACTGTCACCTCCTCTCTCTCTCTTTTACCTCCTTGTGTTTTTCGAGGGGAGACGTTCTCTCTGTTACCTTTTCTCTTGTCCGGCTCGTGACTGAAAAATTGGAAAACGCTGTTTTTGTTGGAACTGATCACAAGCACATTCCTGACTATTCTCTGTCCGTGCTGTCGTTTTAATCCAGATTATTTCTTGTTGCGACAATACAACATGTGTCTAGTTCTTGCTGACTCACATGTATATATAAAGTGCATATATGTGTACACATGTGCAATACACGCTATTCGAGCAATCTATTACTGTGACTATTATTGATGATGATACTTGTCCCTTTTTCGAAGTTTTCAGCCCGTTTTTTCTTCTCGTCCTGATTTCCTGTTGATGAATTGTGTTGCAGGAGCTTAAAAAGGGAAGAAGGTGACTCTTGTGATTCTTCACACTCAGTGTCATTTCAGGGGTTTGTGGACATTTTAATGAAGCCCTTTTTTTTTTTTTACTCTCACTGTAACGTTGTGACGTTGATCCTGATTATCTGTTTCTTTGTTTTTTTTTTTAAGTGGGCCTGTTGTTAAACTTGTCTGGAAACTCAATAAAGCAATTCACCGATTTCCTGTTGCATTTCCCAGTACTCATATAACCTGTTCAAAGTGCACAAAATGCGTGCCCATGATGGTCGCCTCTCCTCTCCTGCGCCCGTTCGGACCGCTCAACACGGCACACCCATGGTCAAACGGTCCAGCTGCTTCAAGCCACTTTAGACCGCCAGGTTAAGGCTAAATTAAGCTCTGCTAGCTGTAGCTTATATAGCTTACAGACATGAGAGTGGGATCAATCCTCATCTGAATCACAGCATTTTCCAAAATGTCAAACTATTCCTTTGAGATTTGATGTCTCCAAATATGTTAACTGAACAGCTTCCAGGTCAGCTGTAGGACGTTTTCAGGCAAATATCTGTGGGAAGCTTAACTTTTTTCAGCCTTGGTACATGGGTCGCTAGCTCTACCCACTGAAACGATCTCTACAAGTCAGTTTCACTTTATCATTTATCAAGTATCATAGTGTGCAGCTCATCCTACCGAGAGTCAGGTTTCTCACAGAATATGGTTTGTCATCGATCCGAGTGAGGGGCTAAAATACAGTTCAAATCTTCCAACATGGATGAGCCATTATGGAGCCATTATTGGAGCATAACCACTTATAAATGTGAGTGGAGAGTTGTGTGACTGTATCTCGTGTGTGCATAATCTGTAAAACTCTTACTGAGATTTGTGAATGTGTCCGATCCATACACACTTACAGATCGACATTATATATTTGCCAATCTGAATACAGATTTGTAGGTTTTTACACATTTACAAATCTGTGCCTATTTTACAGATCCTACACATTTGCAAATCTGATTTCACACACAGAACTTTCCACTCAAGTTTTGCTGCAATAATGGCTCCATACAGGACTTCCAATTCCCTCCAAAGCTCCACATCCCTTCTTTAAATGTCATTTCATTAACAGGATTTTTCATGTTATAATCAATTCATAATGAATGAACTGTGTATGTATTTCCATAATTATGAATTACTGCAGTTAAAAAAAATACTTAATACCACTTAACATTTTAATACAATTTAATAATGGAATTATAAATATTGAATGTGATGTGAGCTGAAAGAAATCCAGCATCAGATATAAATCAGCTCACATCACTGAGCAATTGATCAAACACTATTGCAAAGTTTATTTCATACAAAAGGAAAACGCAGTGTGTTTATCCCAAAAAGTAGACCGAGCCTGCAGCTCCTCACACCAGAGGGAACCTCGCAAGGCCACTGTTCTGTGGAAAAGAAGAGGCAGTAGTCAGACTCCACACACCGATGTGGTCTAGCTCTCCGGCGAGTAGATCTTGATGAGGTGCTGCAGCTCGGTGGGGTAGCCGGTGACCGGGCAGCGGCGGTTGGCCTTCACGTATGTGTAGATGCAGCGGTAACAGAACACGAAGCCGGAGGTGGACAGCACCGTGGCGTTGGTGCGAAGCCTCCGGCACAGCGGGCAGTTCCTGCAGTCGGAGCTGTGCTGGGCGCCTTCGCTGCGATTTGCCGAGGTGGGCGGAGAGTCCCGGCCGCTGCGCTCCTGCTGCAGGTGGAGGGGTGGTGGCGGAGCGGGCAGCGAGGTGAGGGTTTTCACGGCGCTCTGGTTGTCCGAGGAATACCACCACTCCAGGAACTGCAGGAAGAAGACGCCCATGGAGAGGGAGGTAGAGAGGGACACGGCCACGCCCCTGGCTGCTTGTGACATCAACCACCACGCTCTCTGCACCAGGCTGCGAACACAAGAACAATGCATTGTGGGTGGTGACTTTAAGATGTTTGTCTGACACTGGGCCTCAGCTCTCACCTATTAGTCTATTAAAGAAGTGTTTGCTGCACATACAGTTAACATCTCTGTGCATGTATTTATTAGCTCCGCTAAAATTACACTTGGCGCGAAAAACATTGCTCCAAGTCTGGTGAACCCGCTCTGAAGTGGAGTTTCAGAGTTCAAACCTGAGGCGTGGATCTGCGTGAGGGGCTACAATACAATTAATACAATTTTAATCAGCTTCCATGACTGGAAGGCTAGGCTCAAAATTTCCAGGTTTTCCAGGACACGTGGGAACCCTGTATTGACATAATCAACTCCCTGAAACTGCCATATAAGGTTGCCTGTTCTGCTCCATTTGTGGAGTTTCATTCCCTGAAAATGTTGTTGCTTTTAAAACTTTGGTTTCACTTATTTCAGTGCAGCATGAAAATCAACAGGTAGACAAGTTCAAGTTTCTTTTGCCCTGATTTAAGCCTTTAAAGTAGGCTTTGCTTTGTGGCCTCCTTCAGTGGTAGAGCTGCCACTCTACTTCATCAGCTAATGTCAACCATTAAACAGTCAACATTCTCTGATCTCAGCTTCTCAAACGAGGATTTTCTGGGTTTTTTAGGCTTCTATGACAGAAATTTGATATATCTTTGGGCTTTGGGAAACAGTGATTACCGTTATTCACCATTTTATTGACCAAACAACTAATCACTTAATTGAGAAAACGATCGACGGGTTAATGAAAATAACCGCTGGTTGCAGCCTTGTTTAGCGGGATGGCAGACCTGAACCAAACCATGACCCAACCATGCATCCATCTAGAAACTATACCTGACTGGAAGGCCTAACGAGTACTGCCTGTGAGACTCAGAACAGGGCAAAGAAAACAAAGAAACCTATAACAGTAATAGCAGACTCATGTACCTCCCCTCAGCTGGGGGGCCAGTTTTGCCGGTCTTCAGCTCCATGTCTTTGATATCTTGAGCGTTAAGTCTTGCCAGTCTGACCCTGGCCAGCCACAGCAGGGGATTATGGGTCCCGGAGACTCCAAAGACAAAGAGCAGCTGCTGGCAGAAAACCCATGCCTGCCACGCTGAGCTGACGTAAGGGTACGCCGCCACGGCCGCCCGGTACAGCCTCCGGCCCCTGCTCTGCGCCAGCCGGATGGAGAAGTCCTCCTCGTCCCTCTGACGAGCCAGCGTCGCCTCCAGCTTGGCCCGCAGGTACGGCACCAGGCACAGGAGAAGAAGAGAGCGCCAGTGAGACTTCCTGTGCAGCCCCAGGCCAACAGGAAGTCCTCGCCCTCCCGAAACTCGCTTCAGGCCGTAAAAGTTCTCGGAGAAGGAGGCGCTGCAGTGAGACAGGAAGTGGTTCTGGAGGAGGAGGTCCAGAAGCAGGTAGAGCTCGTCGAAGCGTCGCCACAGGAAACCGAATCGGGAAGGGTTGGACTCTGCCAGAACCTGAGAACCAGGAAAGATGGTGATTGCTGGAACAGTGGAAAGACGAACAAAGATGCTTCTGGACAGTCTGAGAGGTAAAATTGCCATTTTTCTCTCTGAAGTCCCACCACACTCCATGCAATGTCTTTAATTATGAAGTATGTATTTGTCTCCGAGGACCATCCACGTTGCAGACATTGCAGCTCTTTTCGGGAGTATTTTCTAATTTAATTAAGGGTTCATTTCAACCAAACCAGCGCTGATGCTTGCTGGAAAGACGGACAGGGTCCATGTTGGTGAGTTTTATTTTCTTTCTGACGTGTGTTTTAGTAATGGGGCTGATGTTGCCAGTGGAGTCTGCCAGTACCAGTAGAGAATGTTTACATACTGTCTGCATTAAAAACCCTGATCTCAATTCTAAGTGGAAAAAAATCCTGATTCTTACTTTGACCATTTCTTTCACCCTCATGTCATACCCATACAGTTCATCATTTACAAAGAAGAACACACATAAAGTAAAACCAGACACTGAGCAGCTTTACAGTATTATTCTCTACCAGTTGGCTGAGTGGCGCTCACCTTGACTGCGTGCCTCAGTGCTGGTCTGACCGACTCCATCAGAGACTCCTGTGCCAGGACCTCAAAGATGGAGGGCTGCTCGTTCACGGCGGTGGAGGTCAGATGGGCTCCGGCCTCCGCCATGGCTGCTGCAGAAACGGTGAAACACCCTGCAGGAATGGTGGCAGTGGTTGTAGATCATTCCTTCATCCCAACAATCACTCTTCTCTTTCAGAATGAAAAGGATTCTTAACACGTCTCCTGAGTTACCACTGTATGTCCCCGTCCAGCTTTCTGGGAATAACATATGTCATTGCTTGAACTTTCCATTAATAGTGGGCCAGAAATGAGCTGTATGCGTTCCCTATGGAAATGTTACTTCTGTCATACAGTACTTTTACTGTGTTTGTATTTAGGACCTGAACTTTGAGGAGCTCTATTCAGACTCTCTGATAAACAGCCTGGTCCTGCGTTAGAAAAGTGTCACTCAGTCATCAGTTTCCTCAATGACAGGAAAGGAGTTCCTTAAGGAAAACGGTTGGGAACCAGTGTTTTAGAGAGATCTACTCCATATAAATCAGTGGATGGTAGATTTATTGAAGGTACTACCTGTCTGACTGATTTTGATTTGTTAACACAGCTGCTAGATGCAGAACGCTCTGTCAGCCACAAACAGGTGCCCTGCTCAAATGCCAGTCTCTCACTCTTTTCTTTTAAAATGTGCTGAAAGTTACAAACATTCTATATAATGATAATATCTATTATTCTAGGACCATATTAGTCCCGCCTATGGAAGTGTCTTCATCTTTGAAGTTTCAATGTGAATGCGGGTTTCTCGGTAATGACGGTATTAACACACTGACATGCTAACGTCCCCAGTTCTCTACTAGCTAACACAACTGCGCACAAAACCAGCACAAATCCTCACTTGTTTCCAACATACTTTGAACTGAAGTCAAATATAAGAGGCACCAGTGCAGGCGGGTTGTTATTGTGCAGCCATGTGGTCAAACTATGACGACATGACGTTACCTTCCTGTGTTAGCTGTTAGCTGAAGCTAGCAGGACTGCGTCGCTGATGTTTCCGGTCGCCTCCGCGGGTTTCTCCAACATCACGCACTCCTTTAAAAACAGCTCGTGTTGCACTGAACATTGCAGCAACAGCAGACAGGCTGCTCTTCCGCCATTATTCCCCCGGTATCGACCATTCACCGCCGTGCACGGTCCACAACAGCCACCACTTCCGCATTCAGACGTTTTCGTTTCTTTCAACAACGTCATGACGCAGTGGGCGTAATTCCGGCGGCTACGTCGGGCTTCCTGGTTGGGACTGATGTGATTCTTAGGGCAATATAATCCTTTTTTCTATTTTAATTACTTTATAATTAATGAAATGTTTATGACAAAAATAGTGAAAATGCCCATCGTAAGTTTGACAAAAATATTGTGTCTGACTGACAGTTAAAACTGAGACAAGCAGGAAATGTTTAACAAGCTAGAGCCTTTTATATGAGGCATTATATCAGATTAATAGCTTAAACAATTAATTAACTAATAAAAATGGTTAATCAAAATAGTTAATTGATTTTTTTCATACTTGTAGTCTTTTTAGGCTTTTTTTTGTTCTATTGTGTGAGTAAGCAACAATTACACTGATGAATACAGTTGAAAATTAAACATTTAAGAGAAAGCACACTGTAAACTAGATACTTAACGTCTACGAGGGCTTCTCAGCCAGGACAGGACTAAGATACAGTCACAGGACCCGCTTGAGTTGAGTTGACTATAACAACAGATCCACTAAATCACAATAAATAATAATAATAATTTAAAAATAAAACTAGAAATGCAAACTTCCAAACAAATCTGCAGTAAATCAAAAATAACAGTACCAACCGACATGCAGTGAACCTGGGATTTCTGGGGCCCATCTGCACACACAAACGCCTCACAAGATGTTAACAGTCTTTATATAATATTAAAGTCAGTGAAACAGACGGATGGTGGGACGCCAAGGCTCCGCAGTGGTATTATAAGGAAACGAGAGGGAGGGGCTCGGAGACAGAGACATGATAAAAACATCAGATGAGCTGCCAGAGTTCAGTGGATGAGAGGAAACACTTTGTGATTGGAGAGGATTAGGGGATTACTGACACAGCTGACTGCGCCCACTCTCCATCAGCATCATCACTCTGTCTTTGTGTCTCTCCTCTCTGTCCATCATCTGTTTGTGTCTCGCTGTCATCCAGTGAAGTCAGGACATAGAGAGGTTGACGACCCAGTATGGAGACTCATTCATCAGCAGAGGAGGTAAGTTGGGCATTTGGGGGAGGAAGGGTTTTTTTTTTTTTTTTTTTAGATGTGTGGGATTTTTCATTAGAATGTTAATTGTTATCATTTCAATTTTATTCAGCATAAAAATGTAAAAATACAATAATTAGAATGTTTTCAGTGTGAAAAATATATTATCAACCAGGAAATCACTTTAAGCTGTTTTACTGTACATTATAAGAATATCTGTATTGATAGTGAACAAGTTATAAGAAAATAACAAAACAGGTCATTTTGAAGCTGTAGCTCAAATAAAAAAAAATACTGTTGTGTCAGACAGACTCACTGACTTTAAATCCGTTTCTGCTGCTCGCTCTTACATACTGTGATTACTGTTTATATTATTACATTTGCACAGGAAAGCTAGGATAAATCGGATGAAAAACCCTAGTAAAAACAAGTGTTACAATTGTGCTACAGTAAGTAACTTATGTAATGGTGAAGGTTTGGTGACTATTGTTTTTAACGGGGGGAAATCCGAGATGCTGGAAGATGTCATGTCTCAGTGTGTAAATGCTGATTGGGGTCAGGTTACTTTGCCGCCAAAACGGAAAACGGCTCGATATTACATTTTTTGTTTTAAATTTAAGAATTTTTTTTAAATAAATAACAAGTAGTTTTCCCTTTTCTGTTTTTTATTTTCAAAACTAATAAACTAATAAATGCTTAAAGCTAGCCTGGGAACCAGACAAATCTACAAGCTCATGTTTTATATACTCTGACAGATGCATGTGCATACATCACTGTAATAAGAACTACCTAGAGGGACAGAAACCATCTTTGGGAGAAACTTATTAGAATTTTTAGTTGGCCCATGTCCCATTTGTTAACATGGAGGCAGCACGCTTTCTGACCTGAACTGCAGCCAACCACATAACTTACTTATTTAAAACTAAACTAAATACTGCCATGCTTTCTGTCTTATTTCCAGTTGCATCCACGGTGACTGCGAGGCTTGGCAAAGAGAACTGCAGAATTAAACTGCCAAGCTTCATTCAACTTTCCACTTCAGCTGCTCCTTTGAATTCCTGTTGTTCCTCCTGTTGCTGTCCAGGAAAATATGCGTCTCCTTTTCCTGGCCCTTCTCTTCTTCCTTCTTGTCTTTTATCTCCCCCCATCTCTTCTTCCATTCATCGAGGGCTCGCGGTTGTGTCCACATCAGTGCGTTTGTTACGAGCACACCGACCTGGTGGACTGCCGTGGCCGTGGGTTCGAGCACGTTCCCAGAGGCCTCCCACACGGCACGTGGCTGCTGGAGCTGGGAGGAAACAATCTGAGCGAGATTGGCACCCGAGCCTTCACTGGACTGTGGTCCCTGCGGGTGCTGGTGCTAGCCAACAGCCAGATACAGGGAATACAACCACAGGTAGGAATGGTGGGACGGATTAAGGTGAAAGCACTGGAAATCTCAGTCTGGTAGTTTAAAGTAAAAGTAGTTAAATGTATGCTTCTCTCTGTCTTCCCCTCTCCCCACAGGCATTTTTCTCTTTGTCCTTCCTGGAGAAACTGGATCTCAGTTGGAACCAGTTAACATCTCTCCCTGTTGACTTCTCAACCAGTCTGTCTGCTCTCAGAGAGCTGCGACTGGAGCACAACAACTTGAATCACATATCTGGATACAGGTACCATTCTGTCTGTTGGTCCTCAAAGTCCATCTGGCTTCCAGCATCATGCTCCATATTCCTATATCATGTGCAGATGTACAAAAAAGCCTGTTGGAGCCATGCCCTGAACCCAACAGGAATTCGGCCATTTTGAACTTAGTGTGCATTTTTGTGGTGCCATTTTTGCCATTTCCAGGCATTATTTCAACGAACTTGATCGGATGGACTTAAAATTCCATCAGTACCTACTCCCTAAAGACATTGACAATGAAAAGTCATCAAAAGCATTAGTTTTAGTTGGACGGCGTGTCAGTTGTGTGGTGTCCAAAATCAATGTTTTGCCATGTTGCAACTTGAGTGTACTTCATCCAATTTGCCCTAAACTTCACATCCCGACCTAAACACAATTACATATCACATCACCAATATTCAGTCACTGTATTAGCACCACCTACTGGAAACAGTAAGTAGGCCTTGTATGGCAATCATCATGAAGTTTTCATGGAGTGGTCTATGCATGATATGCTTTAATTGTTAAATGTAGTTTAAAACTTGAAATTAAAGCAGCTATAGCTTTTATAATAACAATTACATTACTGTCTAATGTGAAAGGTGTCGTTCGTAGTAAATCAATGTGCCTCCTTACATTATTACAATCTGAGCAAGTTAACAAACTCAGGGCATGGGGGCAAAATGCTCCTTTCCTGAAATGCTCCTGGTGGTGTCTGAAGCCGTGTGTGTAAATAAGCTAACAAGTTCGTTAAATCAACTTAAAAGCTGATAGTATGTGAATGTTGTGTTCACAGCTTGTTTCTACTTCCCCCAAGTGGCCAAGTCAGTTATTTCTAGGGCTGTGTATTGGCAAGGATCTGGCAATACACTACATATAACGACACAGGGGTTACGATCAAATACATTGTGATATATTGTGATACTGTAAGCTAGGCAATATAGACAAACAAACCTCTCCACAAGAGAGTTTAACCACCAGTGGGTGAAGCTAAACATAGCAGCATTCAGCACATTTGGTGTCTGACTCTTCCTCATTCAGCTTGGAGTATCTGGACAGCATGGAGAAGCTGGACCTCAGTTATAACCAGCTGGTGTCGTTTGGCTCCGGTGTGTTCAGGGGCCTCTCCAGACTCAGACAGCTCTACCTACACAACAACAGACTGAGTGTGGTGCAGCAGGGGAGCCTGGATATGCTGCCTGGACTAGAGGTGCATAAATGACTCGTAAAATGACTCTGTGTGAACACATTGTCTGTATCCCTGTCTGAATGCCTGTCTGTTTGTCTAGGTGCTCCAGCTGAGTAACAACAACATCTCCCAGATAGACACTGATGCTCTGGCTCCTCTCTACAGCCTGGCAGTCCTCGCTCTGGAGGGAAACAACCTGCATCACCTCAAGTTTAAGACCTTTATCAGCCTCCATACAACAGCTACACACATCCAGCTGTCAGGTTTCAATATCACTACTAATACCGTTACCCACGTTCAGCTCGCGTTAACCTTTGTTGTGGATCAAGTCAAGAGACACCACTCTCTCACAATATGAATGTGTTTATTCACTCTGTGGTAAAGGAAGTTGACATAATAGTATATAAAAAATCTATAAATAAAATGTGCAACCATTTCACAACATTAACCTCACAAGCTTTATTTTGAAACTACAACTGGACATTGTATATTCATTTTTATAAACTTGACCAAGAGAGCCTTGTGGGATACCTACAGCATCACAGTTTTAAGCAGAGGGCCATTGACCAAGTGCTTGTATATACCAGTGTATAGTACAGCTAAAGTCCAGGTCCATTTTTTCTATTGTCTTAGACTTTGCACTTGGACTTGTATTATATTGGGTGACATTGACATATTGACATTGGCCACCTGGTTACCATGGTTGCTGTCTCATTGGGACTTTGACTCGGTCTCGACTAGCCCTGGTCACGGACAAAGTTGGTCTTAACTACAGCACTGGTATTTACATGCTTCAAACAATTAAAACATTTAACTTTTTGTTGTGTTTGTGTCAAAATCTCTCAGGAGTCTGGGGTCAAGGGGACACTTGACATTGAGTATTTGACTTGTCTTTTTCGTTAATCTCTACATTTATGCTTTATTGTTGCTCCACCAGGCAACCCGTGGAGCTGTGACTGTGAGCTGCATCGCGTCTTCAGTAAGATCTTGCACGTTCGCCACCTTCACATCGACGACTATCGCAACGTGACGTGCCAGGACCCGCCGCAGCTGGCCGGGGCTTCGCTGGCCTGGGTCGACAGCCAGCTCTGCATCGCAGAAACAGCCACCGTGCTTGTCATCACCATCACTGTGCTGGTCACTGTGGTGGCGGCTTTGGTGATGGCGGAGAGGAACCGAAAGAAGAACCCTGGGAAGAACTGGGACACTGAGTCGCAGTCACAAACTTAGATACCAACACCCTGAGAGCATGCAGAAAAAACAACAATAAAAATACGGAGACTCTGTGAGACTGAAGAGTAAACTCCCAGGCTCCTCTAGTGAGAGGCTGATCCCAGCATTGGGCACAACCGGAGATCCCTGCTTGTTGCTCCCAGATTTCAAAATCAAAAAAATTGGTCACCAAAATGTGTCAGAGAACACAGGAGAGGCATATGCCACTTCATTTGAGATGGACAGCAGTTAGTTTAAACGTTTCCAGAGGCAGCGAGTCATGGTGCCGTACTGCCCTGAGTTGCATAAAGTAGCCTAGACCTCTACCTTATGCAAATGAGGAGCTCTTGAAATGCACCATGGCACTACCAGGGTGCATTGCCTGACTGCTCACATAGACAATGAATGGAAACCATGGAAATGACTGATCCTGTGGATCATAATCAAACAGTCGAAAGTTGCCAGAACAATCAATAAATGTATTTAATAAACAATGAAAAAGACCATAATAATAATAATAGAGGTCTGTAACACTTACACATTGAGGCTTTAATATAAATTAAAGCATGATTACAGCTATTTATAAATGAGTTTAGTGAATCCTCAAAGGCTCATTCAATGCTATTCAATTCCAAACAGCACAGAAAGCAACAAGCTGTTGTCACTCAGTGTGAATGAAAAGGTACAAATATCAAAATGGAACAAAAAAAGGAAAGCTATACACAGGTTTCAGTGGCTGCTCTCTTTACCTAGTCATCATTTTTCATATCTAGACAGATTTTGTTTCTCAATATATACTCTGAAAAGCAAATGACGTGTTGTCATCGCCCAGCCCGACTATAAACTGCTCACACATCAACAGGTATTTCCAGTGTTAGTAGGTCAGAATGGTGAAACATTGGCGCAGTGCGAGTGAGTAGATTCAGATACAGATATAGTAGTTAGCTTTGGTTGTTATTTCCCAGCCTCAATGTAACTCGCTGCACAGTATGACTGAAGTCATTTCTGATTAGCATCAGCTTGTTTGTGTTTTGCACGTCAATAAAACGCTCTGGTGACCTTTATGGCAACATGGAAATTTTGTCCTTGTGCAGTCTTGTTGATGTGTGACTCACATCTGTTTTTTTCATGACAGTGTGAACAATCACATTGATCTTTTCTGTTCTGATATGGGCCACTTTCATGTGTGGTCCAAATCAGATACAGGTCTGATGTTTTTGCCATATGTGAAGTCACGTGACTTTTGAGGGACTCTAGATAGACATTTATTCATGCACAAATAACTAAATTGTCACCTAAACAGTAAAAAACAGCTTAAACCACATTTAATGATACTAAAAAAATGTGTATGTGTGTGTGTGTGTGTTGTATCTGAAATCTCTGCAGCACACATTACTCAATATATTATGCAATACTGTGCGATACTTTTAGGGACTGTATGAAAATGATTGGCATGGAGAAAGGGCTGAACCTTATCATTTAATTTTAAAAATAATTATTAGCATTTTTTTTTATTTAATATTTGACCATGAGCCCTTCCCAGTAGCTCAAACTATTCTAACAGCGTTAACGCATTTAACCATTAATAATAAAATAGTTAAAGAAATGTAAGGTGATGGTGATGATGGTCTTTGGCCACTTTAAACCTCGACTTAAAGCAAATGTTGATTAGGAGGGAAAAAGAGGTGCATTTTGATGAGACAGCATTTGATCACCAATAACTAAAGATCAATGTATACTGTGTTTCTTAAAATTGGTATTTTATTTATTTTATTTTATTTAGCTACTTGTGATCAGTGCCTGAACTGGACCAAGAAAGATGCCAGTACCAAAATTCAGCACAACCCTAAACAAAACATAACTCAATTTTTTTTTTTTTTTTTGCCGTTTATATGTCCTTTTTAGCAAAGACATTTTCAGTGCTGTTTGCTTAGCATTAAGCTAGCTACATGTTTAAACAGAGATGCAGTTTCACAGCTGTTTAGGAGTACCTGATCAGCATTGCTGTACACAGGGTTTTAGAAACACTGAGGTCCATAAACTGAACTTGCTTGGGTGGGTTTGGGTCATGTATCAAAGCATTAGAGTATTAGTTATAGACAATTATTCCACGACTTTTTTTGTCTACCCGTTGGAAAAAATACTTGTGACCTCAGCGGTACTCAATAAGAAGTAAGGGTACTCATGTGGACAAAAATCTCAGTACTGGTGAGCACCGGCTCATTTCAGGCACTGCTTGTGATGGGAAAAAATCTCTGACTCTTGTACTATTTCGGGAATCTTTAATGACAAGAGAAGGTTGAAATAACAAAAAGCTGGGCTGTGAAAAAGAATACACACATGAAAAAAAATCCAACGCCCTAACCATTTATTCAGCCAATAACACTTTACATATGACATAAAACATCAAATAAAAAAAGAAAATACTAGGATTACAGTGACCCTGCTTGTGACTTGTCAAATGTCCGGATACATTTTAAGTCCTGTGGTCAGACAGACATTCAGCAGTAGAGTAGGTTTATAGGCAGACCATATGTCTCTGTACACCACAGAGGATTACTGCTGGACTGATGGAGAGAAAGAGGAAGAGACAATCTTATTGAGGTCGTAGGCCAGATGTCAAGATGATTAATACTGGACTGGAATACCTTTATTGAATGTGTGTGTGTTGGGGGGTATTAAAGAGGCAGAGACAGAGGCTAGACAGGCCAACCAGCAGACTGCCATTCTCTCTTATGTCAATTAATATTCTTTTTGAACAAAAATCTTCAAATAACTATTAAGACCAGTGTTGGGCAAGTTACTTGAAAACTGTGATCAATTACTTATTACACATTACTCATTTAAAAAGTAAGGACATTATTTCACTAATTACTTACATCTTCTGTATTTAAAGGTCCAGTGTGTAACATTTAATAGGATCTATTAGCAGAAATGGGATATTCATAGGTGTGTTTTCATTAGTGTAAAATCATCTTAATATAAGAAGCTGTTTTTATATACAGACGCTGCAGGTCACCTTCCATGGAGCCATGTTGAACGGCCATGTTTCTACAGTGGCCCAGGCTCCAGATAGGGTTTCACGACCACCGTAGTTTCTCCTATACACTTCACAGCCCGTTCTCAATCCCAGGTCATCAAATATGGCTGTTCAGTTGGTTGCAATCTGCAACTTCACAGCTAGATTCCACCAAATCCTACACACTGGTCCTTTAACAGAAAAAAGACTGTGGTTTGTAAGAGCAAAAATACTAGTGCTACTGTTGAGGTTGAGAGACCATTAGACATGTATATGACTGTGTGTAACCTTTACTGACCTTTTCAACTTTTACTGACTTTCTCCCCCACCTTAGATCTTAGTAAATGTCACCGTGCTACATTTTTGTACTTTATTCTCCTGTAATAGGTGAAAGGGCATATTCACATATCTGTCACACCAAGCTGAGATTCATTATGTTCAAAGCATTGAGAGACTTCCTCTCTTAGTCACACCATGTTACAATCTGCACTACAAATATGTGATTGTCTCTGTGCTTCTTTGTCAGACCTGCACCTGTATGAGCTCTGTCCTCTCAGCTAAAATAGGTTAACTCTGTTACTCTTATTATCCTGCTTTATTAAACAGACTAAAGACAACTGTTTCTTGTATCATTTATTTGTATACCTCTCTGTGTGGAAAAAACACGGGATTTACCCTCCAACAGATAGCTCTACAGTAGCCTGCACCAGTGTGTCCAACTTGGCAACTTTCTCGCTAGATTCAGCAACTTTTCAGACCCTCTTTGTGACTTCCTTTACAAAACGAGCAACAAATTAAGCGACTGGCTCAGTCCCTCCCTTGCACTGCATTTTTCTAGCACGAAGTTGCACCACTCATCAATGTCACACTTGGCCCAGACAGCCAATCAAATCACTTCCGGCCTGGGTTGATGTCATCTAGTCTGCTGGTAAGTGGGTTAGCTAGCTAGCTAGTTAGCTGTTTGACTGTGAGAGCGTTACGGAGCAGGGGTGTAGTCGGGTAAACCCTAGTAAACTCAGTTATTCACCTATAGTCGCATCTGTTTTTTCTCTAACACTCTTTGCCGAAGCGTTTCTGAAGCATGACGTTATTGAGACACTGAAACCTGAAGGGGAGGACGGTTCTTGTCACAGTAGAAACAAACTGTCTCTGTTTTAGGCAACAGGTTTTAAAGCTGAACAGAGCAGACTGAAAAGGATTAGAGGGAGATTTACCAAACAGTGACTGACTGACAGCAAGGATATTTCACAGTGGAGATTCTCTCCCAACAGAGAATGTCAGGAAGTGAAGGAAGTAAGGATGCATGTTAGCTAAATGGAAAGCACCAGTTGTTGCCCTGAGGCTTACCTATCTTTACATCCTTAATGTGATGTATTTTCGATTGAAGGAGGAAGTTGGGATGAGACAGCGAGGGATCCCGTTGACAGTTTATGGCAGTAAACGCACAGAAATGATAAGCTTCCCACACTCTGTATACAGCAGATACAACACACAATAGATAAAAAATACACATTAAGTAAAAATAGAAAAATAAGAATAAGAGTTATGTGTACACTATATACAGCTTTTATTAAACAGAGGTGTTTGATATGGAACATTACACAGGTCACAGCAGGAGGTAGTATAGAAATAAATTACATAGGACAGCAGTTTAATTTAAATGTATTATAGGCTATGGATAAAGGCATGGTAATATATTGTAGAGGTATAATATACAATGGGAATATTGAATATAAATATTGTAGTTTAATTATTTTATGAATTATGCATGACTGATCTTTTTATTTGTATTTATTTTATTTTATATTTTTAAAAATCTCAAGTACCCTGTGATGCTGTGATTTGTTTTTTGGCTGCTGGGAAGAATTAAATGGCCTCCCTGATCTGAACGTCTGTAACAACACAGAACACCATGATGGAACAGTGCAAGGCTCATCACACTCAGGTCAGTGACAGACTTGCTGTTTTCATCAGAGGCCAAATTCCAATTTCCTCCAGCCTTTTCCTGAAACTGCCCCTATAGCAGTGTCAATGAACTCAACAACTCCATTCAATACTTGCTGTTTTTGAAGGGGCAGGAGCAGCTTGTTTGTGCCTCATTTACTGCAATCATTGTTTTTACATTTTACCTTTGGTTTCAATGATTACATATAAGTCACATACATCACATCCAGTACGTACATGCATTGCTTTCTTGTGCGTGTGTAATTTGAACTTGGACCCCACAATGGTTTCCCTGGTATATTTTTTTAAACCTCCTTCCGCGCAGACAATGTCTCTCTATAAAAGTCATGTGACTTTCTCCTTTCATATGCCATCCTCTTTGGAAACACACGCCGCACAAAGACCTAAACCAATGTCCGTTTTTTCTTAGAAATATTAGGTGTATATATGTGTGTGTGTGTGTGTGTGGTGGGCATGAGTTAGTCAAACAGATTTTGGATTTTGTAACAAAGCAGCAGCAGGTGGACTTGGGCACAGACACAGAAGCAGAGTGTGTCAGTGGTGTACAGCTCTCAGCAGAAAGATGAGCTCCACCAAGGTACCTGTCTATCTGTCTGTCTGTCTGTCTGTCTGTCTGTCTGTCTGTCTGTCTGTCGTACCTGATCTTTCATTGGGATGGTTTTTGGTTTTTTTCTGTTACAGATACGTTCCTATTTTGTCATTGTGACAGTGTTGTTGTGTGTAACCAGTTTGGTTGTAGCAGATCCAGTGGGCCGGGTGAGTGAAGTTACCTTTGACCTTTATCCTTAAAGCTTTTCTACTGGCCCAACATAACCAACTCTCTCCTGACGCTCTCCGCAGATCCCCCGTCAGACAGCAGCCAGACAACAAGGTAGTGTGTGTATGAATGTGTGTGTTTGAGAGTGACTGTATAATATTGTGTATGAATTTAGGCACATGTGGAAACAGTCAAATGAACATCGTACTGTTTGGTGGATGATGCAGAGTCTTTTATCATTTGATTGAAACATGAATCTGTGTCCCAGGGGGCGTCGTTCTTTTTTTTGTTTCCTTCCAGGGTATCCTGAAAGATATCGAGTTCAACCCAATCATCTTCAATCAGGTGTTGGTGAACCAGGGCTCCGCCTACAACAATGACACGGGTGTGTTCACAGCACCGGTCGCTGGAATCTACCAGTTTGTGTTTGCTGCTCAGCTCTGCCGCGGAAACCACAACAACTTGTGGAACTTCATGCTCAATGTTGCCCAGAGGATGTCCTGCCATGCTCAGGTACACAAGACTGAACTAAACCTATAGTCACTGAAGCAAGAAATACTATAAAATACATGACAAAATATGGTAATCAAAAGTAAATAGGAACTGGAAGATGATACTACAGACATCGTCCACTCCTGTACCCAGGTTTCTGGGGGTGACACAACACTGAACACCTGCTACCTCATGGAGGAACTGAAGAAAGGTGACCAGGTGTGGGTAAGGCAGAATGTGGGGAGTTGCGCCTGGGCCAGCACTCACTCCAAAACCATCACCTTCTCTGGCGTCCTGTTGGCCAGTGAGGGTGTGTCAATGCTTGGGGGGAAGTATGGCTCCTATCCACTGGCCAGCCTGAGCCACAAAAGGGAGATGGTGTCCGGCTCTAAAGGCCAGAGTGCCGCTTGGTCTAATGTTGCCATCACTCTACTGCTCTGCTGTCTCCTCTGGGATTAATCATGGAACAGCTACTGTAGAAACATGGCAGTTCAACATGGCAGACTTCACAGAAGGTGGCCCTCACATAATCACATTCTCCTCTTTCACAATGTAGTGACATATATCTGCACATCTGTTTACTTAGTTTCAATTCTACTGTAAAAGCTAATGGTAAATACATATACTGTAGATACTGCTATCTGTTGTCTTTAGATCATTTTGATAATCACCTCAGCAATTAGTTGTTCCCAACCTGGGGGTCGCCAAAGCCTCATGCCTTCTTGATTTTACGGTGTGTACGGAAAGTAGGCCTGTATCTCAGCCTTTGGTTCACTTCTGTGAAACTCTTTGTATTTCATTGATATTATTCGTGTGTAATGAGCTCACCACAGGCACAGACCAAAGCCAGGGCTGTAACAGCACTGACTGTCCAGCAGATGGAGACACCTAACTAATAATGTCCATATACCCTGAGCTGGGACATGGGGTGTCATTCATGTGCTTCATGCATGCTCTAAGGGTAAAATTACTTGGTTAAAAGTAAATAATTAATTTCTTGTTCCCATGAGCTGTACAAACACCTTTTCTACATCACTTCCAACCTGAACACATCATCACATCACCAAAAGTAGGACTGTTTAAGTATTTGTATTTGAACCTACACACAGTATCAGTGCTGTGCCTCTGTGGGGCTCATTGACAGCACTCATGGATTGGTCAGGGTTAGCAGGAGTGCTAGAAATTGACAACAGGAAGTTTGTACAGATGCTCTTAGAACACTTTTATAATGGCATAACTTAGTCCACATTTTGACTCACTTGCTCATTCTTTTGAGTATCTCAATCTGTTGATTTAGTATCTCAGGATATTGATCATTTTGACTTTAACCCTAAAATGCTGTACTCGTTTTTTTGGTAGAACACATTATAAGCTGTGATATGTTGTTAGAAAACATGTTGGACCTGATTCTCTAGAATTTAATTTTGATATTTTTTTTGACTTTTCATTAATGGTAAATATAGTATTTCTAACAATAAAAAAAGAAAAAAAAAACAATACACCAATATTGCCATGGAATGCATATCTAATGTTACTCTGTCATTATCTCATTTAATCATTTTATGAATTTTTTGTAAATGTTTTTAATCAAAATACAGTCAGTGATCAGGTAAATCCAGGGTTATATTGTTGGTACACGTTCATAATTGAATTGAATTGAATTGGCGCTATACAAATAAAATTGAATTGAATTGAATCATAAACCTCACTGCGACCTCAGTGGATGGTGCAAGAGTATGGGAAAGACTTTTTGAAAAACAAGTCAACGTTTAAAGGACAAAAAGATGATCGCCCACCACGCAGTCTGAAGTGGCTCTACAAAGACAGAACTTCAGATTATATAATTATTTTGTTGTTTCGATTTGACTATTTGTTTTTTTATCATCTTTAAACTTAAAACTTTACACCTCGTCCATATAAAGAGAAGTGTGACATAAAGGTTTTAGAAAAGTGTTTTATTTCTCTTGAATAGAGAAAGAAAATATAGATATATTTGAACATGTATTGCAACATGTTTTCAATTAATAATATAATTAAAAACTTCCACTGGTAAGTCACAAACTAACAAACTTGCCTCAACAAAAAGATTGTTTAAAATAGTTAAAAATATATTTTCCTTTGGCAAATAGGCTTACATAATGGAGACTCTTGTGAGACTCTATTATTGATAGTTGCCTTCTTTCTGCATTATAGTGTAGACAGACACAACAAAGCTTATTTTAACTGCTGTATATTCTTTATGTGAGCAGCTGTTGGCTCGTACTGGAGCATCAGTTGACACAGAAGCATGTTGGTTGCAAACTCTTGCAGTGCGGCGGCTTGTTGCACAGACACAGGTGTTGCCTGCAAATGTTGCGGTGAAGTTGAGAACTGCACCGACGGGTTGCTCTACGACCACATCCTCTCCTCTGCTGTCGCTCTCAGCGCATCCGTGGGCCTTCACGCTCACCAACAACAGCCTCGACCTTCTTCTGTGCAGAGATGAGAACACTGACTTCCTGTTGATGTGGGATGTGAACATTTACTTCTTTACTGCAACATAAAGCAACATAGCAAATATATTATATTGACTGTGATAACAAATGTGGATCCATAGCAGCCGTACGTTATGTGCACAGTGGAAAAAGTAAATTCACTTCTACAAGGAGTTTTGAACTGGTTATGAAACAGTCTCAGTTTAACACTGATGCCTCAACTTTACATACATAAACAAACAAGACCACCAGTGAGAAGATTAGCTGTTTCTGTTCTAACAGTTATTCCTAATGTCTGCCATTGGGTCGAATTCCCCTTGAAATCAATGAAACGAGGCGGTAGAAACTTTTTGCTGCCAGAATCAACACAAAATTAAAACTCCTTGTAAGTTTAAATGTTTTTAAAATGGTAAAAATTGTAGATTTGATTGAATAATAGCTTTAAATGCCACCGTAGAGGCTTCTTTGATCAGCTTTACGTTTTGCTAATTGGAAAATGTCATTATTGCCAACCGCCCTGATTTTTTTTAGAGCCTGACTCAGTTGCTGTGAATGGAAACATGTCTGAATTCTAAGAAAACCAACAGATAAGTGAGCAGCTAAAAATACCTCCACTGAGTCTTTCAAGTCATGTAGGCAGAGATATGTGGCCAGTCTTCATAAATGTACAGAAACTGACATAAATTGCATGTTAACTGCCTTCAACAAGTAACTATGTGACTCCATCTGACAGGTGGGAAGATTAGTATGTGCTGTGTTGTCTTACAGTAAGTCTGATCTTTTCATACACACTTTCTAAAGAAATAATGACGCCAAACTGTGTGTCTTGTCTGCAAAACTTTTATTGAGAATAAAACTCAGCATGAAGTAGTTCACAAGCACAAACAGTATCAATCCACACTGGATATTGAATTATTCACATGGTTTTAAGTCAATAATAGTGCTATTAACACTACAGGAAGTTGCCCTAATTTGTGCATTATATGATTAGCAGAACTGAGCATCAAAAGCAGCGTGTTTATAGAAAGCAGGAGAATCAGCTGGTGTGTGCAGCTCAGCTCTCAGTTGTTCTGTTTTCCGGAAGACGCCTGTGGAGCACACAGAGAAGGACACATTTTCAGAGATTTGTTAAAAAAACAAAAAACAACTAAAAACACCATGATCTACTTAACTTGAGCTCATTTCAGTCTGAGTCACCTTTACATAAGCTAACATAGTGTATGCCATCAGTGAATACAGACAAAGAGAGATTAAACAAAGGTCTCGCTCTTAAGAGCTCTATGATAAACTCTGAGCTACTTCATCATCTCTCCTGCACAAAGAAATGTTTATTAAGCCACAAAACACTGTGAGTAAACTCATTTTAAGTCGATGAGAAGATTCTTCTCATTACAGATTAGTCTATATAGAACTGGGAAGAAATGTACTCAGAGGAAAAAGTACTCTCTTGGTTTCTACCGGCTATTTCTGAGCAAAGCTAACTGGAACTCTAAACTCTCTAGTCTGTTTCATCTGGATCCAACTGTCATGTGTGATATGCAGCAGTCTTGATGTTGGGAAGGCATGCAATGATGCAAGAAATAATGATACTGGGAAAATAATTACTCAAGTAAAGTACAGCTATCTGAAACCTACTTAAGTAGAGTAACAAACTATTTGTCCTTTGTTACTTTCCACCTCTGTGTTCATGAAGTCAATTTATGGTGGCCGTACAAAAGTCAGGACATTAATACCAGAGACCAGGGTTCACATGTTTATGGGGAAAAAAACCTTAAAGGTTTAAGGTTGGGGAAAGATTGTGGTTTTGATTGAATGTTAATTAAGTGAACATGTTCATAATCAGGTTCCTCTGGCTGATTGGTTGTTTTCATTCAGGCCCGGTGGATTCTTACAAATGCCATTAGGAGCACGAGAATGAGTCAGATGAACCTGAATTTTTCACAGATTATCCGTGTCATGTATTACAGTCAGGATATAGTGAAAGTTTTAGACATGACAAAAAGCTATTTCTATAAATATTTATTACTGCAGATTTAAAGTGACTTAAGACTCTTTCTCTATCATCAGCCAAATCATATGAGCTAAATGCACCTAAATGTAGCCATACAAACAGCTCAATCATATATTACTATAGCTGCTATGAATGTTTATTGTTAAGTATCTATGTCTTGTGACCTTGTGACTTATATTTATATTTATCACTGTGTTGGTAAAAAAATATTATCCACACATTTCCCCAGAAACTTTGATTGCTATCCAATAATAACCCACGTGTTATGTCATAAAGCCTCAACATTTACATAACACACACTTCTATCTGAGTGACACCACGTTTGATAAGGGCTTTAACTTACTATCTGGCCATGACCATTTCTTATGGCAAGTATAGAATTTCCACTGGGATTTCTTTGGAACATAGACAAAGCAGTGACTTGTGTAGTATGGACATTGTACACTCAAAACATATTTGACCTTAAAATGTTGACTTAAGTATTTCCATTACATTTTCCATGAAATTTTAGTACATAAGCGCAATGTAAAGGGTCAGCCACCTGCAGTGTTGGAGTGTGATGCCTATAGATAAACCTCCTTATTGGATCTAGTAAAGTTTATTTATATTTTATATCACTTTATTTCAGAATATTTACATTATATTGAATTTTTTGAATAAATGAACTTTTGATTTGTTATATTTCAGTTACATTTGACTCAAACTTTTGCTTTATGTTTATGAGTTCCAAGAATCATGTTTTTATGTATATGATCATTTTGGACGAACCTGAAGCCTCCACACCAGAAGCACCACAAAGGCTCCATAGAAGCTGCTCTTGGCGATCAAAATGGCGTAGGTCAGTTTGGCAGCGTTCGTGATCTTCAGATATTTTTCTGCCAAACAACCTTTAACACCTGCGACCCAGTCAGAACGGTACACTGTCTCGTTCCCATTGAAGAAGCTGACGGTGCAGTTGAAGTTCTTGCCCGGTGTCAACCACATTTTGAGCGGGACCCTCAGTCTGCTGGTGATGCTGTAATGTTCCCCTTCCAATCGGGCAGCGCTGTCGGTCGCCACGCCATCTGTGATGTCGTCCCCGTCAATCTGCCAGGACACGCTTACATGGTCTGGGTAGAAACGAGAGGCCACGCACACCAAGGTCTTCTTGTTTTTTTCTTTTTTTGAAGGAGGAAGAACTGTCACCGTCGGTGGGATGATGGTACGGTTGGATTCTGTAGGGACAAAGAAAACAAATCATTTGATGAGTCCAACATTTTGAGAAATTTTCTGAAAGTTAGATGAGAATTTTGATACCACTCCCATGCCTGTATGATAAATATGTAACTAGAGCCGGCTTAGCTTAGCATTAGGACAGGAAACATCTAGCCTCAATCGTTCTAAAGGTAACAAAATCTGCCCCCCAGCGCTAAAGCTCACCCATTAACACTTTATATACTATTAGTTTAATACCTAGGGTAAAAACATCCATACGAAAAATTGCTGTTTGCCATTTTTTTTTATGTGACAAACTACACTGCTAAAACAGAATCTCAAGAAATTTAAAAAGGCCTTGTTTTTGGAAAATGCATTTAATATTTTTTGTCTAAGAAGAAAAATATAATCTTGTCAAGCATGTTTTGCATTAGAAAGGTAATCTGGTTTTAAGGAAATATATATCTAACTGCTTCTTTATAAGATATTACAGCTCATATTGAGCTCGATTTAACCAGTAACAAGCTACAGCAATGGTTTGCATAATATCCGAGCAGAGGAACAAGATTATTTTCCTCAGTTTAACGGAAAGTAGTCTTGTCCCAGTGTTGGAAATAAAGCAGCTAAAGTTTTTCACTGTTTCAATAAAAAATGCTAAAAATAAGAATGCTTCTGGTGCCTTCATTGAAGACAAAGTCACTATTTTGCTTTTTTAATTCAGGTCCGTGCACAACTTGCTTACATTTTTGGCTTTTTTTTCTAGTTTTAAGACCCATTACAGTCTTCCAGTCGCTAGATTTCTATGCTAGTTTTATAGATTCTTTCCATGCAAAACTAGCTTACACCATTGGCAGATTATTATTATTATTATTATTATTTTGGCTCATTACAAGAAGTGTCATTATATTTAAGAATATTTGTCTTGTTTCTAGACGGGCTGATTCTGCAGTGTATTTTTCGGAAGTAAGCAGGATAAGTGCCGGAGCACAACGTAACACTCACAGAAAAAACTTTGAACAAACACTGAACAAAACACTTGTTATACAACTGTATGTATGTTAGTTTAATTTAATTTTAGGTTTGCCTAATTTGATTGAGCACAGAAGGCAACTATATTTTAAAGGACAGCCTCTGATGCTAGATTCATAGCATTTTAAATAGTTACAAATTCAAGTAATTGCAAATACATTTAAAGTTTCACAACCCCACATACTACAAAAAACCTCTGAGAAAATGTAAGAGGTTATCTATTGCTTGTAAAGTTATTTTCTTACCTAAGACTGTCAGTTTGGTTCCACCACCAAAGTAAGCAGGGTTGTAGTTGTCACACTGACACATGACTGTAGTAAAAACCGTTTAAGCTTTCAACACTAGCAGCTATTAACTGTCTTTTTACTCTTCATCACAGAAAACATAAAACAAGTGTATGGAAACTTCTCCAGATTCACGCTGCATAGCCAACATTTCCTCACAGTTTTAGAAAAATCTGCTCAATTTTAGAAAACAGGGTGTAACAACCTCAAATTGTACCTTGGAATTATACATTTTGGGATATTACAGAATACATCTGACTTTTAAATTCTATCTAATTTAATATTATATGTATTTTTACCTTACCTAAGACTGTAAGTTTGGTTCCAGTCCCAAAGTAAGCCTCCGACTGTACTCACAATCATTCACAGAGCTGATAAGAACTCACATTGAAAGCAATAATCCGGGCATAGAGCCAATTTTGTTATTTCCGCAGCAGTTTGCTGGAGAACAGGTTGGGACTGAAACAAAACTAACATGTGTTATAACATCTTCTAAAGAAACAATACTTAGAATAAATTTACTGCCACCACATAAAATCACCTAAAAGCCTGGAAGAGTCCACATATCGCACATTCTCCCATATAAACCAGCTGTGAAACATGCTCAGTTTGATTTGTCGTTGCACATTTTCTTACCTAAGACGGTCAGTTTAGTTCCAGCTCCAAAATAAGCCTCTCTGAGTTAACACGTAGCTCTCAGACCGTGACAAAACTGCTTCTTTCTCTGTGCTCCTTTTTGCTATTTATCCAACTTTGTCACACTCAGACATGAAGAAGCTTACACTGTGATATACTGCAGTTTGCACTAAATATAGTCACCCTGTACAGATCACCTTCTATACGTCAACATATGATATTAAGGTATTTTATGATAACTGAAGTCATTTTGAAGGCAGTTAGTGCATGAATTGTCACTTGCAAAGTGTCTGTCAGGCTTTGGAAGCTCTTAAAAACAGATCAAATCTGAACCATTGTTTGTGTTATTTTAATGAACTTAATGCTGATTTCTTACCTAAAACAGTTAATCTGGTTCCTCCGCCGAAGTGAGCCTCATAAGCACCAGCAGCACAGTGCACTTTAGCCGTGCTCAAATTAGCCTCTTACGGTTTATGCTTTTTTTCTTTAATACTTTAATTAAGAAAGAGTATGGGTCGTTTACTTGTAAACTTTGCTTTCGATTGCTTTCATTAAATTCCTAAAAGCAACATAGCTGTGCTACGGCCTGTTTAAGTTAGAGGGCAACTTTGTTTCTCTCAATGCAGCTAAAAGACCTGTGAGGATCACATACAGCACATTTGTCTTCACAGGTGAAGAATAAAGAAAAATATCTGGTGTCTTACTTACCAAGAACAGTCAGTTTTGTGCCCAGGCCAAAATAGGCTTCATTATTAGCACAGCATGATCGCTTGATATCAAAAAGCACTGAGCTGGACTGGAACTACAAAGGCCCAAGTATGGAAGGTTTAAGAAACTCCAGCTGTGGTGGACTCTGAAGAACCAGAACCAGACTATTTCAGGAGAACCAGAACCAGGCTCTTCTGAGAATCTAAAGAGATTCCATTCCACTAAAATACAACATTAAACAAAAACAAAAAAAACTAAAATGGCAACATTGGTTTTGTTTCCAGAGTATGATCAGTGCAAGTCAAAATCTTCCAGTCAGTTTGATAGTTTTTCCTTCATTAGCAATTAAAATAGACATTTTTTGTTGATGAATTGAAGTTGTGAGAGCTCTGACTTACCCAGAACAGTGAGTTTAGTTCCTTTTCCAAAGTAAGCTTCAGCTCCAGTGTCACACTGACTTCATCCTCTACCGAAAAGATACAAAACTGCCCATAACTGGTACCTGGAAACAGGCTAACAGTCCACGACATTACTGTAGTTTCAGAATAGTAAATGGGATGCACAACACTCAGGTTTGCTGGTTTTCTTTTAGAAGAGTGCACAAGACCCAAATACTGGATTGTTGTTTTACTTTATTATATTCCTCCACTGAAATTTCTGTTTGGTACATTCTCAGATAAGTGAGGCATCTTGCATGAATGAGAATATGGATGTTTCTATGTGTGCCAAGTGTCACGGGTAACTTGTAGCTTCTCACTCAGCTTGTTCAATGGAGGAGGTTTTTGTACGGCGGCTCAATGAGTTTGTATCACTGTGCCCCCCTGTCCCCACAGTGAAAAAGCATTATACAAAAACCTGCTGCTTCTTCTTTGCTCGTTTTGCCTCGCCTTCCCCCACCTGGCTTTTCCATATCTCAGCCTCCATCTCTCTGCGTCTGTCTGTGAGAGCAGCTGTGGGGCTTGCTCTGACTGACAGCTGAGGTGAGCTCCATGCAGCCTGACTGCTGCTATTTCTGTGCCAGCTAAGAAAAGAAGCAAATGAGGAAAAGAAAACCTTGTGTTTCTATGTACAGTAGCTGCACAGAGGAAGTGACATCTTCACTGGTCACACCTCTTCATCCCACCCACTTATAACTGATATAACCTTCTCTAAAAGATGACACAGGACTTGTGTATAATCCTGTTTACTGTTTACTTGCAAAATCGTTCACATTTTCTGTCCAGAATATCTGTTGTGGCAGATCACCCTGAAATTTAGAGTGGTCATCTTTTTCCCCAGAAGATGATCACTATTAATTTTCCCGAGTCCTTACCTTTCCTTTAGTGCCACCAGCAGGTCAAAATCCCCTCTGCACCATGGTTTACCTTATTATTCATTCACACACAGACTACAGAAGAATCTATAGCTAGAGGCCAATATACAGAAATATATATGGGTGGTCAGAGGATTGGCAGAAATATATGCTAATCACTAATAATCCCATCTATTATCATCTGCTTGGAAAAGACCCCAAATAAAGATATATGAAACATTGCATTTTTACATATTATGAAGCATCTTCAGACATTGCAAATACATTATTTTTTTATTGAACTTAAGCATATCACTCAGTGTAAAATATGGCCATAACAGATCATTAAATAAAAGTTTTGGAATTTTTTTTAAATGAATAAAACAAATGTGTTACATTTGACAGCATTTGACACCAAACTGGGGTGGCAGCTGGGGTGGCCATGCTAACAGTGACAATGATAAGCGTGCTAACTTTTACTAATTAGCATGGTACAGCTAAGGCCGATGGGAAAGTCATTCGTTTTGCAGGTACCAAAATACTGGCCAGATAAAACGTTTTATCTGATGAAATGATACACAGTCTGGGAATTTATCTTTTAAACATCAAATTATTTCACTGAATAAGTCTTCCTGTCAGGTATCAACCATTGACTGTATATAAAGATGGATGACAGCTCCCCAAAAGTAAAGCCAAAGCATCTTGATCACTTCCTGGTGGCTGGCTGCAGTACAGGTAATGAACCAGGATTTTTTGGCTTTTGTACAGTGGGGGAAGTGGCGATACATTTTAGACTTTTAATCTATTTCTTTTCTGCAGCAATGCTCTGGTGCAGGTTTATATAATTCATATAATACATTATTATGTTATCACATTAAACACATCATAATGTATACATTTAATAATGTAACATTTTTGATGAATCATGCAATAACATTAACTAATAATATCATAATGTCAGAGAACATATCAACCCGATGAGTTAGTTCTACTCAAACTGATTGCCTTAAACCATTTGAGTTTATTAACTCAAACCATTTAAGCATTCAAAATATTTGAGTACAAATAATTCAAGTATTTTTTAAGATAACTTTGGTAAAATAAGTTTAGTGTATCCATTCAGTTGATTGAACTTAAAACTAGTAAGTATATTACACTTGTATGCAGCAATTCTCCAAAAGGATTTAAATTGCTTTAACAGAATTTATCAGACTAACCTAAATGCATCTTCTAATTTATTAAGTTTATTTCAGTCAAAACAAATGATGTACGATAAAAACAATTACCAATATTAGATTATCAAAGTGTTAGCCAATTAATTTTCTATGGATCATCTAATCTAATTGTTACTGGCTACTTTGTTTTTTATGTGACTAACATCAAATCTTTACATTTTGGGGGATCATCATAATTGGGCATATGATGATTTATAAACTGAAAGAAAAACAAAACAACGTTATAGCACAGTGAGACAAACTGGAATTATATATTGATTATATCATCACCAATACTTTAGATACTGCACAAATGTATTAATTTCTTATTACTTCAACAATTTGTTTTTGAGTTTGGTTATATTCATGGGGGTTGAGTGATTCCACATTTTATTACGAGATTCTATGAGGTTTTACAGTGTATCTGTACATTACCACACATAACTGTTATTGCAATCATTTAAAATACTTACTCAAGTCTTAATGACTGATTGAATAATGCTGTAATGTTTTACAGATTCATTTTAACTGTTATTTCTACAGTTTGACTCATGCAGTAAAGGCTGTTTTTACAATTACATTTTGACATATGGGAAAGAATTATTGCTACAACCTTTCATGATCAGATTCCTATTTTCCCCCCAACAACCTCAGTTCGTTTTTGTATGGAACTATTCCATTTAGTTTAGACTGTCAGACCTGCCATCACTACACAGTAACACCAATCTACCCATATTTAAACTATAACAATAGCTATAACAGTTTGATATTCAGCATTATGATTTGTTAAATATGTAATGCCAAATGTACCCTGTGGAGGTCAGTGTATGATCAATTCTTAAACTTGTTCTTTCCAAAACTACCTTCTACACAGGTAGCAAAAAGAATTAAGGAATAGAACAAAAAGGAGAGCAAAATAAAGAGATGTGCCTGGAGAGCAGCAGACTGTATAGGACAGAGAATCATTCCTAACTCTGTTATAGCACCTGTGTATTTATCTAACTGATCAGCTCTGTGGTTCTGCAGAAATATCATTGAACTGTGAGAGAAGGGTTTTGTTACCTGAATTAAAGGCTGTTTAACACTTTCTTTTAGAAGTGGAGCTAAACTATGCATCAAAATGAAAGCTTTAACAATAATCAATGGTTTAGATCTAGCAGCAGGTTAAAATGATACAATGTAGATGGAAACCACTTTACAGACATTATCCAAGGCGCTGCTTTCAGTTTGTGATTAATCTCAAGTTTCAGAGCAAAATTGGATGCTAAAAAAAACTCTAACAAAGTATTCTGGAAGGCTGTGTTAATGGAAAACAAGTCATGGAAAGGGTCAGGTTAACTCAATTTTAGAGTTAAATTTAATATTATCCCCAAGTGTATTTGGTCCCATTTGGATTTGGTGTTAAATAGAGTTAAATCAACGCCAAATAGAGTAAAAATTTAAC